AAGCCACGAGTGAAGACATGATCATCGCTGCGTGGCCCCTCCTCAAAAATTCCCGACGGGGTCTCAAGGGATTGTCGGGCCTCCACAACCTCAGGGCGCGTGCAGGTGTAAAGCATGTGATGCAACGCGTCGCGCTGTCCGCGCGTGCACATGCCACCAGTGAGGCAACCAGCATCGCACGCACGTGCCTCAGTCCAAATCGCATCCGTGGCGCACGATAAAAGGAGGAACTGCTGTTGGCGAGTGTACTTCTTATTGCGCGTGCGCATATACTTACGAACAAGGTCAAAGGTGGCTCGCATGCCGCTCACGTGCCCTAGCCTGTTCGCAAAACGAAACTCAGCCTCTCTCTGCAGACCCTCTCTGAGAAGATCAAGGAGGAGGCGAGGCGGGGCCTTGCTTATATCTACCATACAGCCTCAATGATCGATCCACTGCGTTCCTGACGCCACCTTTCCATCCAGTACGTCGTGCCGACAGGGTTGCACGAGCAAGCGGGCCACGGCTGGATCTCCAATCGCCAGCTTCGCTAGCCTTGGCCTGCTCCCAGAGTTGAAGCAACTCCTGGAAAGGGATCAGTGAACGAGTGGGGCTGGCCTGGGCGTTCCAAAGCATGCGACACCATTGCAGAGCGGGACCAACTGCTGCGCGAGTGTCCCACTCACCATACAAACCAAGTTTTGCCATCGCACTGGTTCCTCCATGCGACGGCGGCATTCTGCGAGCCTGGGTCCTTCGCACAGTGTTGTGCTCAGCACCCGAGAAACCCAAAACCTCAGACCCATGCGACGACGCGGGGGCAACGCCCGTGCGAAGGACCTGAGAGAGACCCTTCTTGGCCTCCTTGTTGGGTGCTCTGGGCTTAAACTTGCCAATCTTTTTTACGCGCACTTTCATTCCCCAACGACGGGGCCGCTGTTTGACACGCACGCGAGCAGCTGAACGCTTGGCACCTGCATTATCGTTAACCCCGGGATAGGTGACCGATTGTTTTGCAACCTTGGGCTCAAGCCCTAGGCCGCGCACAACTTCGCGTGCAATGGATGCCTCGCTGGCCACAACAACAGCTTTATCATGTATGGCCGCGCTCATCTGCTTACTCGCGTGATAAAATGCTCGGCCTGCCGCGACGGCAAGCTGCGCAGCGCTCTGTCTCTGGGGGCTGGAGGTTTGAATCCCCGAATCATCAACATACGATGTGAAGCGAATCAGAGGAGGTTGGCTAGCAACAAAATCATCGAACGCCTTGACAACATGCACTTTGATGCCGATATCATTGAAGCAATCGCCTGCAGACAACCCGACATTAGCATGCGCGACCCCTTATGAGTGGTGCTGTCGGAGGCGCAGCACTCGAGGAGCCCTCCATACATTGAAAACGAGTTTCAAAAATGCAGTGGGCACTTTGAATTCGAGAAACTTATCCCGAAGTTCGACTAGTGGGACGGTCTCATAATACTTAGAGTAGTCGGCGATAATGAGCACACTGAAGCGGCTCGAGGCAACATCAGCCTCAGCACGTGCCGCTTGTGTCCAGGCACAGTCCACAGAACTCCTCGCCCGACTCGCACCCCAGTACCCACGCTCCACTTCCTCCATTCGTGTACCTAGCATAGGCCGCCGCAGCCTCTGCCAGATGCGGTACATACCGCTGTAGAGCACTACTAGCCGATGGCCAGCGGATGGCTTTGGCAGCATGGGCATTCATACCCAGAACAGTTGTTTGGGTAAAGTCCTATCGCCTCGCAGCACTGCCACAAGCCAGCTAGCAAGTCTAAGCCATCATCATCCAGCAACAGGAAATGCATCGGATAAAATTGATCCAAGGACCTGACAGTCGTCTCCGAGAAGCTCTGGATGACTTTCCTCACCTCCCCAGGGCCAGCACGTGGAAAGCTGGTCCGATCGGGGATCCAGGCAACAGGCGGGGAGGCGGTGGCTCGCCAGAGCTTAACATACGACTGCAGCTCATGCTGCGCAACCGACTGGGGGTCAGCTTTGGGGCCTTTAGGGTCGTGCACAACCGTAGGCGTAACAACACCCCGAACCTTCGTGACCTTGTGAAGGCCCCGCGCTCCCCCTATACTAGCAGTTTTGCACCAATTATCCCAGTTGTCATGGATTTCTTTTGATGCTCCTTCTACTGCAACTGAGACGCCATCAGCAATATCCTCGAGAAAATGCTCAACTTTTTCCCGAAACAAATCCGAACATAACATATTGCGAGCTTGCTTGACCGAGTTATCTAGCCCGGCGCTCAGACCGAGCCCTGGGTAGTCGTGGTCCCGAAAAACAGCTATCTCGGCTAGCATCGCATCCTGGGTTTGGTCCGTCATATCATCTAGAGCTGTGAGCTGACCGAGGTGCTGGACTCCATTCCGAGGCCACTGCCGCCCGTCAGCTATCACACATTTTTCGCTCTCGTCAGGCACAGGATATTCAACGTTGACCCAGCGCGGTGCAACTTGGCGCCCGAAACTGCCAAAGTTACTTTTCGCACCCCCAGTGCAGGTGCTGATATGCCGTGCAGCGATTTGGGCAAACTTGCCCCAGCTAGTGCTGAGCAGGTGATGCACTACACAGGATCGGCCTTCTCGTCCCCCGCCATTTTAACACACCGCTCAACCAGCCCCCTAACGGGACCCCAATCAGGCGGCGCAGGGCGAGGGCCGAACGGGGGGGAAATCGAAAGAGAAGGCGCGACTGTATACACTAGATGCTGCACTCGGTATCCCTGACTTGCTATAGCTAACTGCACTGGCCTGTGGGGTCTAATCGACCAGCTTGTGTCGAGTTTAACATGCTTGTACGCGCGCATGCAGGGATCATTGAGCCCGAAAAAATCGATGACCGAGCTACCTGTGCCACTTCGACAAGTGTAGAGCTGAGTAGAGACCAAGGTCAGGCCAGCAAAACTGCATAACCCTGAAGCCTCTACTTCGTCTGGCGACATGTTCCAGTCTCCTCCTACAATGCACGGCCCTTCAACACTCTCCACTACTGCACCTGCTGCTGCCATCAACTTGGCATTTTTGCCCTGAGGGCCTATACTCGGATACAGCTACATATTCACAAGATGGGGTGCGGGCCAACCTGGGAGGTCAAGCTGCACATGCTGCACGCGATGCTCACGCACTTGATGCACACCCACTGGAGGCGCTCGCACACCACATTCACTGCGCACAAAAACCGCTACACCAGCACTGGGCACATTACCTGCAGACGGGCAAAAGGGCAACGCCATTAGACTCCATCCACGCACTTGCGCCCAACTCTGGATAGCTTCAACCTGGTCGGCGACATGGCCGAACTCCTGCACAATAACTACAACTGCTCGAGTGACCTCGAGACGTTTCTTAAGCGTGTTCTTGCCTCCGCTACAATTGAAATTCTTTACGCTTCGCGTATCCCCACCAGCCCATCTCAAAACAGCAACTCTTGCGAAGCATGCCGACAGTCGTGTTTTTCAGGCGTGTTTCCGCCTGCCCCCGCATATCTCCCCTGTTCCTCCTTCCTCCCGCCTCCTTGTACATCCTCCTTGTGGTGGGAGCGGGAGAAGGACGAGGCGGAGGAGGAGGGAGAGAAAGCGCTCCTCGTGGTTTGAGTCGTTTGGGGTTTCTCGTCCTGGTGTGAGTCGTTCGGGCCCTTCTTCCTGGTGTGAGTCGTTCGGGCTCTTCGTGGTGTGAGTCGTTCGGGCTCTTCGTGGTGTGAGTCGTTCGGGCTCTTCGGCCTGGTGTGAGTCGTTCGGGCTTCTCGTGGTGTGAGTTGTTCGGGCCCCTCGTCCTGGTGTGAGTCGTTCGGGCCCCTCCTCCTGGTGTGACTCGTTCGGGCTCCTCGTGGTGTGAGTCGTTCGGGGCCCTCGTCGTGGTGTGAGTCGTTCGGGCTCCTCGTGGTGTGAGTCGTTCGGGCGCCTCGTCCTGGTGTGAGTCGTTCGGGCCCCTCCTTCTGGTGTGAGTCGTTCGGGCTCTTCGTGGTGTGAGTCGTTCGGGCCCCTCGTCCTGGTGTGAGTCGTTCGGGCTCCTCGTGGCGTGAGGCGTTCGGGCACCTCGTCCCCTTTTGGGGCGTCTTGGGGGCCTCTTGGCGGCCCCAGGGGCTTCTAGGAGCGTCTTGGGTGCCTTGGGGGAGCCTCTTCGGGCCTCTTGGGAGCCTCTTGGAGGCCGTTTGGGGCGTCTTGGGGGCCTCTTGGCGGCCCCAGGGGCTTCCAGGAGCGTCTTGGGTGCCTCGGGGGAGCCTCGGGGGGCCTCTTGGGGACCTCTTGGGGGCATCTTGGGGGCCTCTTGGAGGCCTCTTGGGGGCCTCCTGGGGGCCTCTTGGGGCCATCTTGGTGCCTCTGGGTGCCTCCTGGGCGCTTCTTGGGGCCATCTTGGAGGGAATCGATCCAAGAAGAGGGGAGCTTTAATGAGCGCTGCCCCCTCCGAAGGGCAAAATGGGGCCAAAACCTTTGTAAAATCAATGATTTTGCCTTTAAAGAAGAGGGGAGCTTTAATGAGCACTGCCCCCTCAGAAGGCCAAAATGGGGCCAAAACCGTAGTAAAATCAATGATTGTGGCTTCAAAGAAGAGGAGAGCAGTTTTTCTCCCTCCCCCCGTCGGGGCCAGAATCCTCGTGAGGGGTGTCGTTTTTTAGCCCTCCCAGGAGTCGAAAAGGACTCCCCTGACCACCCGCGAGGCGCCCTCTCCAGGCCCAGGGGGAGGGGGTAGGGGGAGGGGTAAACCCCTCCCCGAAGGGGAAGAAGGGGGGTTGAGGACAGAGAGAGCTCTCTAAACCACTCACGCCCAAAGGGCTGGTGGGACTCTCGATCACATGCTCCCCTTCTTTTTTTATAATTCAGGTTTCGCTGGTGGGAAGGAGGCTGGCCTGAAACCGGTCGCAACACTTCTCTTTGTTACTATGGGGACCGGTTGGAGAAGGAGCAGGAGGAGGAGGAGCAGGAGGAGGCGGAGGAGGAGGAGGAGCGAGCAGGCGAAGAGGCATCATGATGAAAAGAGAGGGGGAAGAAAATGATGGAGGAGCAACAGCAGCGGCAGCAGCAAACGCAGGGCTACAACATTGCCTTCGTCGGCTCCGTGGGCATTACGGAGATCCCGCCACACTCCATCCAGACGTACCTCATCGACGAGGAGGTGGACGAGGAGGAGGAGGAGGAGGAGGAGGAGGAGGAGGAGGAGGAGGAGGAGGGGGAGGGGGGGAGGAGGAGGAGGAGGAGGAGGGAGGAGGAGGAGGAGGAGGAGGAGGAGGGAGGAGGAGGAGAGGAGGAGAGGAGGAGGAGGAGGAGGAGGAGGAGGAGGAGGAGGAGGGGGGGGGAATGAAGAAAAGAGGGGAAGGAGGCAGAGAGAAATGACAGGCAGGAGAAGGTGGAGGAGGGGGTGGGCACGAGCGCCGCGGCAGCGGGCCCCAGACCTCGTGGCTTTCCTTCGGGGACCGGCTCTTTCCACCCCGAGCCGTTCTCTTGACCGCCCCAGGGCCCAGGGCCCGGCCCCCGGGGGAGCCCAGGCACGGCGGCGCGCTTCCGCGGCCCGTCTCCCTCCCCAGACCCCCTCGGGGGTCTGAAAGGGGGAGCGAGGAGTCATGAAAAAGTCACGAGAAGGAGAAAAAGGGGGAGCGAGGAGTCATGAAAGAATCACGACGGGGAGGTTTTTTTCGCTGTCTTCGGCCTCCGGGGGCCCTTACGTATACCGGGCCGCGGGACCGTCCACAAAATGGCTCGGGATGAAAGAAGTCCCGGGGAGTGGGTCCGGACCTCTGGGGGCCGCGTCAGGAGAAGATCATGACGTCGGGGGTCTTGCTCGGGGCCCTCCCCCGCGCATCCGACGCCCCGCAGAGGCCCTGCCCCCCTGCCCCAGGGGCAGCCTCTCGTCCCGGATCCATGCTTGCTGGCCCCAGGGCCCGATCACGGGCTCCCATGGGGGCCGAAGTCGAGGACACGCCAGGAGTGGAAGGATGCCGGGTCAGGGATCTGGGCTTGCTCCCCGAGGGGCACTGTGAGAGGGGGGGGCAGGCTCAGGGGGGGGCATGCATCGGCCCCCAACCGCCCACTCCATTGCCAACAGGGGGCCCCATGGCACACCCCGCCCAGGACCGTGCGAATTCGCTGCCCCGGGCCTATCGCCGAGCTGTCGGCGATGTATCGCCGATTTCAGTTCGATGTCCCCCCACCCCTGAGCTGGCCCCCCCTTGCCGTTCCTCTTCGCTTCCTGGCGAGGAGGAGGAGGAGGAAAACCAGTGCAAACCGAGGACGCATCAACGATGTTGCAGTAAACCCTCCCTCCAAGTTCCTCTTCATGGGTCCCTACACGAGTGTATTTTCACTGCGGCAAGTGCGCCACTGCAAGACAACCGCCTGAGAATTCTTCATCATGCCAGAACACCATTCCTGGGACTTTAACTTCGCGGGTCAACGCGACTCATTGCGTCCAGACAATGTTGAAGCGTGCCAGAACACGATTCTTGGGACTTCAACACCGCGAGCCAGCGTGACTGTTGCGTCCTGACAATCCTAAGCCGCGACATAACACCATCCTTGGGACCTCAACCAGACGAATTGAAGCTGCTGCAAGCTTGTACGACGAATGCGCGCGGCGCTCAGACGAGAGCCATTCTTTGCAAACGAGCCGCCCTCCATCCGATGAAGCTGTTCCAAGTGTTGCCGACGAATGTGCGCGGCGCTAGGGCGAGAGCCACATTTTGAGAGCGAGCCGCCCTCCGTCCATGAAGCCGTTCCAGGTGTTGAAGACGAAAGCGCGCGGCGCTGAGGCGAGAGCCACAATGTGAAAACTGGCCCGCCCCCCTCGCTGAAAAAATGGCCCAGACTTCTACTACGAGTGTGCGCGGCGCTGAGGCGATAGCCACATTTTGAACACCACCCGCCCTCCATCCCTGGAGGCATTGCACATGTCAAGTCTCAGGATCACAAGCGTGAGGAAAAGTCTCCGGCGAAGCACCGGGCCGGCCCTCGCGACACGCCTCTTGGCCCGACAGGGGCGAGCTCTTTGTCGAATGGCCTTCGGCCCATCCCGCCACGGGACCTGGCCTGTGGGTGCGAAGCCTGTTGGATGTTCGTTGGCATCTCGCGGTGGGCCTCTCGGGGGCCTCCTGTCGGACGGGGCTAGGACGAGGATAAATCCGTTCCTGAGCGTTGCGGAACGCTCTGGGAAGGCGGCGGCGAGGCGTCCTCCAGAGCCGTTGGATCTCAAATATTCTCGATTTCCTCCTCCTCCTCCTCCTCCTCCTCCTATCATCGCCCGATTTGATCCTCGCCCTGGCTTGGATCTGATCCAGTATGCAGCTTGGAGGCCGCCGCCTCAGGCCGAGGCCCGCCACCCCAAGGGAGCGACGGAAGAAAACGGAGCGGATTGCGCCGACATCGGCGTGTGAGCTGCCCGCGCAGGGTCGAGCGCAGGCGCCCTCGCTGCCAGTGCTCGGAGGTGGAAAAGGTACCCATCTCTCTCCTCCTCCTCCCCCCTCCCCCTCCCCCCTCCCCCTCCTCCTCCTCCTCCTCCTCCTTCTCCTCCTCCTCCTCCTCCTCCTCCTCCTCCTCTACCCTTCCCTCGTCTTCCCCTTTTCGGGCCAGCTGGGCGGCCCCTCGTCGCCACCGCTGGATTCGCCTCGAAGTCCTGGTGAGAGCGCGCCCCGGGCGGTATGGGTACATGTTGGCTTCCCCACGTTTAGCAGGTGCAGCGTGCCGCGCTGGCGGCCCGCGTAAGCCGCGGCGCAAGCTCGCGGGCAGCGCCTAGGCAGTGTTTCCTGGGCCCGTGCGCAGCGCCCAGGAAGCTGCCAGGCAGCGCTTCCTGAGCCAGCGGGCAGCGTTTAGGCAGCTCCCAGGCAGCACTTCCCAGGATTAGAGAGGGCGGCGCGTCCGCGAATCTGAGGAGGGGCGCCCCCGGGCAAGTTCTGGCTGGCCACAAAGCGGGGCCACTTGTGTCGTCGTCGTTGTTGTCGTCCGTCGTGGGCAACACGGGTGGGCACAAGTATTACTGGACTTCTGGTTGGCGCCAGGTATCCAGAAGTATTGGCTGTGCGTCCGCCCGCGGCACGCGCCTCCGTCCTGCGCGCGCGCGGGCGGGCAAGAGCGCGCCCGTCGTCAAGCTCGTGGTCGTCGTCGACGTCGTCGTCTTTCGTCGTCGTCGTCGTTGTCGCCGTCTTCCGTCGTCGTTGTCCGTCGTCAGTCGTCGTCGTCGTCGTCGTCGTCGTCGTCTGTCGTTGTCGTCGTCGTCGTCGTCGTCGTCGTGGGCCATACATATTTCTGGGCGTCGTCGTCGTCCGTCGTCGTCATCGTCGTCGTCCGTCGTCGTCGTTGTCGTCGTCGTCCCTTCCTCCGTCGTCGTCGTCCGTCGTCGTCGTCCGTCCGTCTGTCGTCGTCGTCTGTCGTCGTCTGACGCTTGTCGCCTTCGTCCGTCGTGCGTCGTCGTCGTCGTCCGTTGTCGTCGTCGTTGTTGTCCGTCGTCCGTCGACGTCGTCGTCGTCGTCGTCCGTCGTCCGTTGTCGTCGTCGTCGTCGTTGTCGTCGTCGTCCGGTCGTCGTCGTCGTCCGGCTGTCGTTGCAATCTTGTCGTCGTCGTCGTCCGTCGTCCGTTGTTGTCGTTGTCGTCGTTGTCGTCGTCGTCGTCCTCCTCCGTCGTCCGTGTTCGTCGTCGTCGTCGTCGACGTCGTGGTTTGTCGTCGTTGTGGACCACATGTATTTCTAGGCGTCGTCGTCGTCGTCCATCGTCGTCGTTGTCGTCGTCGTCTATTCCTCCGTCGTCGTCGTCCGTCGTTGTCGTCGTCCGTCGTCGTCGTCGTCGTCAATCGTCGTCGTCTGTCGTCGTCGTCTGACGTCCGTCGCACTCGTCCGTCGTGCGTCGTCGTCGTCGTCGTCGTCGTCGTCGTCGTCGTCCGTAGTCGCCGTTGTCGTCGTCCGTCGTCCGTTGTCCGTCGTCGGTCGTCGCTCGTCGTCCGTCGTTCGTCGTGCGTCGTCGTCCGTTGTCGTCGTCGTCCGTTTCCCGTCGTCCGTCGTCCGTTGACGCCGTCGTCGTCGTTGTCCGTCGTCTGACGTCCTCGTCCGTCGTTGTCGTCGTCGTCGTCCGTCCTCGTCGTTGTCGTCCGTCGTTGTCGTCATCGTCGTCGTCGTCGTCCGTCGTCGTTGTCGTCGTCGTCGTCCGTCTTTCGCCGTCTGTCGTCAGTCGTTCGTCGTCGTCGTCGTCGTCGTCTGTGTCGTCGTCCTCAGTGTCGGCGTCGTCTGTCGTCGTCGTGGACCACACAAGTGTTTCTGGGCGTCGTAATCGTCGTCGTCGTCGTCGTCCGTTGTCGTCGTCGTCGTCGTCATCCGTCATCCGTCGTCGTCGTCGCCGTCGTCGTCGTCGTCGTCGTCGTCGTCGTCTGGTCGTCTGTCGTCGTCGTCCGTCGTCGTCGTCGTCCGTCGTCGTCGTCGACGTCGTCGTCGTCGTGTGTCGTCGTCGTCGTCGTCCGTCGTCGTCGTTGTCCGTCGTTCGTCGTCTTCCTCGTCGTGTGTCGTCGTCCGTTGTCGTTGTCGTCGTTGTCCGTTGTCCGTCCTCCGGCTTCCGTCGTCGTCCGTCGGCCGTCGTCCGTCATCAGTCGTCGTCGTCGTCGTCGTCCGTCGTTCGTCATCCGTCGTCCGTTGTCGTCGTCGTCGTCTGTTGTCGTCGTCCTCCGTCGTCCGTCGTCGTCGGCGTTGTCGTCGTCGTCCGTCGTCGCTCATCGTCGTCGTCCGTCGTCGTCGTCCTCGTCGAAGTTGTTGTCGTCCTCGTCCGTCGTTGTCGTCGTCGTCCGTCCTCGTCGTCATCGTCGTCCGTCGTCGTCGTCGTCTTTCCTCCGTTGTCCGTCGTCCGTCGTCGTCGTCCGTCGTCGTCGTCGTGGTGGTCGACCGTCATCTGTCGTCGTCGTTTGTCGATTTCGTCGTCGTCAGGTCGTCGTCCGTCGTCCGTCGTCGTCGTGCGTCGTCCATCGTCGTTGTCGTCCTCGTCGGCGTTGTCCTCCATCGTCGTCCGTCGTCGTCGTCGTCGCCGTCGTCCTCATCGTCGTTGTCGTCGTCGTCGTCCTCGGTCGTCCATTGTCCGTCGTCGTCGCCGTCGTCGTCATCCTCCGTCGTCGTCGTCCGTTGTCGTCGTCGTCATCGTCATCGTCGTTATTGTCCATCGTTTGTCGTCGTCGTCGCCGACCGTCGTCTGTCGTTCGTCGTCGTCGTCCCTCGTCGTCGTCGTCTGCCGTCCTCGTCGTCGTCGCTCGGTGTCCGTCGTCCGTCGTCTGTCGTCTGTCGTCTGTCGTCTGTCGTCGTCGTCGTCCGTCGTCGTCCTGTGTCCGGCTTCGGTCGTCTGTCGACATCGTCGTTCGTCGTCGTCGTCGTTTTGTCGTCTGTCGTCGTCGTCCGTCGTCGTCGTCTGTTCGTCCGTCTTCCGTCGTCGTTGTCGTCGTCCTTCACCCGTTGTCCATCGTCCGTCGTCGTCGTCCGTCGTCGTCGTGGTCGTCGACCGTCATCCGTCGTCGTCGTCGTAATCGTTTGAGTTCGTCGTCGTCGTTGTCCGTTGTCCGTCGTCCGTCGTCCATTGTCTTCGCCGTCTTCGTCGTCGTTTACCGTCATCCTCGTCGCCGTCCTCGTCGTCGTCGTCGTCCGCCGTCCGTCGTCGCCGCTGTCGTCCGTCGTCGTCGTTGTCGTCGTCGTCCTCCGTCGTCCTTTGTCCGTCGTCGTTGCCATTGTCGTCGTCCATCGTCGCCGTGTTCGTCTGTCGGCGTCGTTGTCGTCGTCCTCCCGCGTCGTCGTTCGTTGTCGTCGTCGTCGCCGTTGTCCGTCGTTGTCATCGTCGTGGTCATTGTCGTCCATCGTCCGTCGTCGTCGTTGTCCGTCCTCGTCGTCATTCCTCGTCGTCGTCGTCCGCCGTCCGTCGTCGTCGTCGTCGTCGTCGTCGTCGTCGTCGTCGTCGTCGTCGTCGTCTGTCGTCAGTTTTCCGACGTCCTTCGTCGTCAGTTGTCGTTGTCGTCGTCCGTCGTCGTCGTCGTCGTCCGTCGCCGTCGTCGTCGTCTTCGTCGTCGTCGTCGTCCGTCGTCCGTGCTCCGTCGTCGTCGCCGTTGTCGTCGACGTCCGTCGTCGTCGTCGTCCGTCGTGGTCCGTCGCCGTCGTCGTCGTCGTCGTCGTCGTCGTCGTCCTTAGTCGTGGTCGTCGGCTCTGTCGGTCGTCCGTTGTCTGCCGTCGTTGTCGTCGTCATCTGTCGTCGTCGTTGTTGTCGTTGTCGTTGACGTCGTCCGTCGTGCGTCGTTCGTCGTCGCCGTCCGTCGTCCGTCGTCGTCGTCGTCGTCGTCCGATCGTCCGTCGTCCGTCGTCCGTCCTCATGGTCGTCGTCGTTGTCGACGTCGTGGTCGTCCGTCGTCCGTCGTCGTCGTCGTCGTGGTCGTCCGTCGTCCGTCGTCCGTCGTTGTCGTCGTCTTCGTCGGTCGTCGTCGTCGTCGCATTCGTCGTTGTCCGTCGTGGTCTTTGTCGTCGTCCGTCCTCGTCGTTGTCGTCGACGTCGTCCGTCGTTTGTCGTCAGTCGTCGCTGTCGTCGTCGTCAGCGTCGTCCGTCGTCCGTCGTCATCGTTGTCGTACAGTCGGGGCGCTGAACAAGGAACCGTTTTCGTTGGGGAGGGGCTCTGTGTTCCTTAGTTGTTTCGCAGTTTGCCGCAGGTTGTCCTTAGGTTTTCGATGGGGAATCGAAGTTTAACTTATGGAAAAAAGGGGCCCCATTCCCTATTTAGGGTTCCTTAGGTCAACGCCCCGATTGTAGTCGTCCGTCGTCCGTCGTCCGTCGTCTTCGTCGTCGTCGTTGTCGTCTTTATCGTCGTTGTCCGTCGACCGTCGCCGTCGTCGATCGTCGTCGTCGTCCGTGGTCGTCGTCCGTCGTCCGTCGTTGTCGTCGTCGTCGTCCGCCGTGGTCGTCGTCGTCGTCGCCTTCGTCCGTCGTCGTCTGTCGTCCTTATCGTCGTCGTCCGTCGTCCGTTTTCGTCGTCGTCCGTCGTCGTCGTCGTCGTCCGCCGTGGGCGTCGTCGTCGTCTTCGTCGTGGTTGCTCTTCGTCCTTCGTCCGTCGTCGTCGTCGTCGTCGCCGTTGTTGTCGTGGTCGTCTTGGTCGTCGTCCGTCTGGTCGTCGTCCGTCGTCGTCGTCGTTCGTCGCCGTCCGTCGTCCGTCGTCGTCGCTCAGGGGTGTGTTCAGGCCCTGCAGAGTGAGCGCAGAAGGCCACTTCGCACTCCACTGCCCTTGAGGTGTGAAGACATGATCTCGTCGTTGAACCATCTTCAGGGCAGATGTTTTTACCTGTGTTCGGCCTCTGGAGGCCCTTGCCAGGCCCCGGGGCCGTTAGAAACCGACTCAGGATGGAAAGCTGGTCCTGGAGAACGGGCCGCGAATTCCAGGGACGCCGTGCTGAAATGATCAGGACGTCGCATGTCTTGGCAGGTGCGGACCCCATTCTGGAGACCTCTCATTTGGCCTGGTCGCTGAGCGGCCTTCCTGCGATCAGCTCACGCAGATCCCTCTCGGATGCGCTCTGGCCCGCCCGACTCGACGCTGGGCCTCCCGGGCGCTCACGCGCCCTCCCGGCTTCCTGGCGCGCGCGCCCGCAACAGGCGCGCGGAGCCGACGACGACGACGACGACGAGGACCACGACCACGACCACGACCACGACCACGACCACGATCACGACCGCGGGCCGCGGGCCGAAGGCACCGAGGATGGCGCCAGCCCGTCGGCCATGCAGTCGAAGCCCAGCGGCCGAGTGGCGGGCGGGCGCGCTGCACACCGGCTGCGAGCGGGCTCGTGGGCGTCGGGGTCCGGGGCCAGCGGGATCGTGATCGGGCGGCCGTGCATGAGGGCGATGGGGACGAGGGGGGAGAGGAGGAGAGCGAGGAGGGGGAAGGAAGGGGAGGAGGAGGAGGAGGAGGAGGAGGAGGAGGAGGAGGAGGAAGCGGTGGGTGAGCGCCAGGAAGAGGAGGAAGGAGCAGAGGGAGGACCGGGACCTGCCCCAGGTTCTGCAGGCGGGCGTTCGCTCCGCCAAGATGTTCGCCGAAGAGAGCGAGGCGGCCGCGTACCTCTTCATCGCCCTTCCCCTGCTTCTCCGTCTCCTTCGCCGCCCTCTGCTCCTCGCTCTTCAGCATTATGTTCCCCATCTCCTCGTCGTCTTCCTCGTCTCCTTCGTCCCCGTATCCTCCTCCCCTCCCCGCCTCCCCCCCCGTTTTCCTCGTTCTCCCCCTCCCGCACCCCATCTGTTCCAGCCCCACCCCTCCCCTCTCCTCTTCCCCCTTTTCCTTGCCCTCGTCTCCTTGTGTCCCTCTGTCATATCCCACCTCCTCCCCATTTCCGTTTCCCTGGCAATTTTGGTTCAAGCGTTGGTTCAGGCCGCCTCCTCGCGCGGGCTGCGACTTGCGCCAGGCGGCCATGGGCGTCTGCTCTCCCCCTCTCATCCCCGTCCTTCCTGCCGCCTGCTCCAGCCAGCGGAGCTTACGTGACGCTGTTCGCGCCCCCCACTGCACGGCGACTGAGCACCAGGCTCAGGCGGCCAGATGCAGTGGCACGTCGATGCCGATCGTCGGACCGTCCAAGCCGCGCACCAAAGGTCACTCTTGCCTAGGGCCACTCTTGCGTGTAGTAGAACCAAGGGCAAATGTATACGGTCTGGAACTTTGGGATAGCGTGTCGCGCCGTCGGTTCTAGCCCACCACGCTTCGGCGCGACACGGTGTCCTTTTCCTGGCCCCCAGCGTCCACGTCCCGATTTTGTTCGAGCCTCCCGCCCCGCTGGGCGGAGCGACACACCATCCGCCTGCAGGGCACGGCGTGCCGCCCGGGCCACCGCAAGGTGCTCGGACGAGTGCCGGGCCTGCGTGACGGCGCGCCGGCTCGGCGCGCCAGCCTGCCGCGCGTGCGCTGCCGGCCCGTGACCACTGATCGATCCAGGCTGCCCCGCCCTTCCGCTCCCGACCGGCCTCGCGCTGTCGCAACGCCGCTCAAGGTGTTGGTCGAGACGCTGCATGCTGTCACACCCTCTCTCCCTCCCTCTTTTTTCTTTCTTTCTCTCTCTTTCTCCCTTTCTCTCTGTCTATCTCTCTCCCTCTCTCGCTGTCGCTCGTGGGACGCGTCGGAGCCTTGGCGAGCCGTTTCTAGAATCTAGAACCCAAAACCCTCCCCCCTCTCTCCTCCTCCATTCCTACTCTGTTTTCTTTTCCGCATCTTCCTCCTTACTCCTACTCCATCCCATTTCCTTTGAATGAAATGACTCCTCTGTCGCAGTTTAGGTTTATCAGGGCGCAACAGTCACGTTGATTCGCGGTGTTGCAATTCCCGGAACGGTGTTCTGGCACGATTTAGGATTGTCCGGCCGCAACAATCACATTGATCCGCGTCGCTGGGGTCCCAGGAACAATGTTTGTCGTGTATTCTCAGACAGGTGTCTCATCATGAGCTACATCCCGCGATTAATTCATCCCCAGGACGACAGTTTTTCCTATTGGGCCCGGAACGACGGCTTGAAGTCTTGAGCAGACGCGTGTGAGATAGCCGCCGTTGGATCCCATGAAGTTCGCGCGGATCCAAGTGTGGTTTTGATGTTTGTTTTGGTGGATCCGATTTCCGTCCGCGCGGATCCGATTTGGGATTTGCTGGATCCGTGTTCGGTCTCTTTTTTTTTACGGCGGATCCGATTCTTACCCCGTTTAAAATTTAGATGATTAAAATAATACGGGGAACCGGAAGAAACCGGATCCGCGGACCCCGGAACCCGCCCGTGTTAAGATTATACGGGGGCAGGGGGTTCGGTCATTAGTTTCCAGCTCATCATCGCCATTTGCACCTCAAGAGGAAAATCTTTCGTCCTGCGTAAGTATTCAGCCTTTCCCAAACAGTGCTTGCATCTAGGGGTTCTTACTCGTCTGGGAAGGAGCTGGGCCTGCCTGTTTGTCGGTCTGGCGGCTATGTTGTCGCCGTCGCCGCCCCGTCGTCGCCTCGTCGGCGCCCGTCGTTTGGGTTTGTCTGCCGGTCTGGCGGCTATTTTGTCGCCGTCGCCGCCTCGTCGCCACCCGTTGTCTGTGCCTGTCTGTCGGTTTGTCGGCTATATTGTCGCCGTCGCAGCCTCGTCGCCGCCCGTCGTCTGGGCCTGTCTGTCGGCCTTTCGGCTATGTTGTCGCCGTCGCCGCCTCGCCGCCGCCCTACATTGCACATCGTAGATTGCACTGCATATCTATTGCATCACAACGGCTGGACCGCCTAAATTGCACTTTCTAGACGATTGCACCACATAACTTGCACACCACTGCTTTCCAAACATGATGATCCACCACCACCACCACCGATGTTCACGGTTTTCTTGGGATCGTAAAATGTTCATATGTTTTTGCCCCATCGTTCATTTTAAGTATGAGTCCATGCCATTATCTGCCTTGCCTATCTCGATCTCCCCCTTCATCTTCGTCAATTGATACTATGCGCGCATTCGTTTATCACAAATCATCAGTTTGCAAGAAACATTGAAAACCAAATAGAGCAATGCCCACACCTGCCCACACCTGCGCGCGGCGTCGCGCAGGCACCGCGGAGCCGGAATATTGCAAACACCATAGGTGTAGTTTGGATTTGAAGTTCGAGCTCCCCGAACACATGTATATAACATGGTTTTGCAACGTGGCTTTTCAACGAAATGGCTGCGCGCTCTTGCGAATTCTTGCGAAAACCATCGGTGTTCGTCGCCGCCCGTCGTTCGGGCCGTGTCTTTGGTCTGGCGGCTATGTGGCCGCCGTCGCCGCCCCGTCGCCGCCTCATCACCTCCCGTCGTCTGGGCTTCGTCTTCGATCTGGCAGCTATGTTGTCGCCGTCGCCGCCCTACGCAGATTGCGCAACATAACTATACTGTACAATTGTTAATCTCGTTTTTAAGAGAGCATTCGGATCTACCCCGTCCCCCTCCGCTGGAATTTACGGGACCTTTTTGCGCATTGCAACATACATATGAATCCATATCATCCCAGGCATGCCGGAATCCCCCCTCATCTTCTGGAAAACATCATGTGCGCGCACATTCGCTTATCAAAAATCATCCGTTTTAACAATCCGTTGCGTCGTGCACGACGAAGTGCACGCGCGCGCGTCGTCGCGCGCGCATGCCGAAATCCATTAGCAAAACTCTGGGCGTCGGAAGGATTTCAAAAGCGAATGCCCGAACACATACAAAAACATGGCTTCGCAATCCATGCCGAAATCCTTCAACAGTTTAATCGTGACCGTAAGGATTTTAGAATCGAGTGTCCTAAGACAGATATGACAACATATGATTGTGCAACATCAGTGTCCCAAAAATCACATGTGGTTGCGCTTTTGCGAATTGGAGAACCAAAGGTTGCTCAACAATTCCACTAAATTCTGCCAGACGGGCCTCCCGCGCGCGCATGTGGAAACAATTCAAAGGCCCTTTGCGCGCATGCTGGGGGGGGCACGATCCCCCCTGTGAAATAATACCACGCGGGCCACTCGCGCGCGTCGGCCGCGCGCACGTGTCGAGCTCCTTCCAAAACCTTCATCACCGACGCGAGGACGCCGTCATCGTCGTCGGCGTGATCAACATAGGCGCCGTTCACTGGCCTTGCCGTCATCATCGAGTCAACCGCCGTCGGCGTGGCCATGATATCGCGCCCGCCCGAGTCACCCGACGCACTGAAGTGCCAGTTAAGAAGTGCCCAGCGGTCAGCGCCACTGCGGCCGCGCTGGTCGCGCCAAACTAGCTGGCCGCTGTGCGCGCGAGCGTGCGCAGGCTAATGCGGCCGTAGAGATGCACCAGCCAACACGAAACACTCATTGCAATCGCCGCCGCATGGGTTTGGCAAACCAACTTGCGGGCGGGGTGGGCGGGTGAGATGATTGCGCGAGCAGCAGAGCTGACAACTCTAAGTTCGGAAGGGTGAATTGTTCAACGCAGCTTCTCCTCTCTAAAGGAGAATTAAGACCCACCGCCTTCCCGAGGCCAGTGTTGTCCTACCCTTGCTATGTGGAGTTTGCATGCGATCTGGCTTCATCGTTCATTCTAAGTCTGAGTTCGTATGATTCCAGCCACGCCGTTTTCGACCCCCCCTTCGCCGCCTGCAACAATCATGATGCGCGCAGTCGCTTGTACAAAACTCGAACGACAAACATGTCGTACAACAGTGGGGCGAATTGCATGCCGCGCGCGCGTCGAAGTCACTTCACAACTTTCACCACCGGCACGTGGACACCACCATCGTCATCGACGTTAGCAGCATGGGCGCCGTCCTTGGCTCTGCCGTCGTCATTCCGATCCTTGTCGCCAGCATCGCTACTATCATCATCGCGTCTGCCGTTGTCGACGTCGCGATGATACCGCGCCCGCCAGGATCACCGACTCGCACTAAAGTGCCCGCGCGTCAGTCGCGCCAGACTAGCTGGCCGCCCTGCGCGCGAGCCTGCGCGCGCTAGCGCGGCCGCAGCGATGCGACAGCCAACGCCAAGCAGCCATCCCAATCGCCGCCGCATGGGTATTGCAAACCAAGTTGTGGGTGGGTGGGTGGGTGGGCCTGGGATGATTGCGCGAGCACTGGAGCTGCCAACTTCAAGTTCGGCAAGGAGAAATGCACCACTTAGACTGCGCCACGCAGCTTGCGTTACATAGGTTTCACCGCGTATGCTGCACTGCATGGGTTGTCCAGTTTATATTGCACCACGTATGTTGCTCCATGTAGATTGCACAGCATAGATAGCACCGCGTGGGTTGCACAACGTACACTGCTCAAAATCAGCGTTCCACGCTGGCTGGGGCTCACGCTTTAGCGATTTATGAACAGGGAATCTTGAGAGGGGGTTATGGGAACATCGATTCGCAGTGGTTTGTATCGTCCTGCTCTTCTTCTTTGCACTCCTCATCCTCCTCCCTCCTTTCTCCTGTTTCTCCTCCTCCTCCTCCTCCTTTCCCTCCTCCTCGTCCTCCAGTCCTTTTCCTTTGAGGAACTTCCCCCTATCGCACCCCGAGGCCAGGCGGAAGGGCAGGCCGGGCGTTTCGTTTGAGATTCCACCTTTTCTTAACTTGGTACTCAAGAAGTGGTAGCCGTTTCACAAATGGAGGGTGGGTGGTTTTCAACATGTGGCTCTCGCCCCAGCGCCGCGCACATTCGTTTTCAACATGTGCCAGAGTTCACAGATTGAGGGCGGGTCGTTTAAAAAATGTGGTTCTCGTCCTAACGCCGCGGGCACTCGCTGTGCACAGTTGCAAAAGCTTCGCGGATTGACTGGGGGTGGTTTTCAACATGTGGCTTTCGCTCTGCTCCGCGCACATTTGCTTTTGCGCCGCCCTCCTCTGATATTCGCCTCCATCGTCGACCCCGATGAGAGAGAAACGTCATGAGTCCTCGTCCCAGGGACCCCCCCAGGGCCCAGGGCCCTTTCGATAAGGGAGGCGCACCCCTCGCCCCGCCCCCAGGCCCCCCACCCGGTCAAAACGGACCCCTGGATTTCTTCCTATTCCTCCTCCTCTTCCTCCTCCTCCTCTTCACCCTCACCCTCAAACTCACCCTCTTCCATCCCTGTCCATTCTAGATAATAGCGCCCTGGCGCACCCCGAGGCCAGTCGGCAGGGCGGTCCCGGCGTTTTGCTTGAGATGTCCTTGCACTTTGTGACCCTGAAGCTTAAAATTTGGCAACAGTTCATTGGTGGCGGGCGGTCCTCTTCTAACATGCGGCTCTCGCCCTAGCGCCGCGCACATTCGTTCAGATAAACTGCAGTAGCTTCACGAATTGAGGGCGGGCCGTTTTCAAAGTCTGGCTCTCGCCTTAGCGTTTCGCGCATTCATTTTAAGCACTTGCGCTAGCTTCTCGGAGTGAGGGCGGGTGTTTTTTGATGTTGTGCTCGCCTTCGCGCCGCGCACGTTCGTTTTAAAACATTGCGCGAACTTCAAGGATTGAGGGCAGTTCCTTTTCAAAATGTGGTTCTCGCTTTAGCGCCGCGCACATGTGTTCAAAATAATTGCGAGAGTTTCATGGTTTCTCATCGCTAACTTACCAGAACTGGTGTTTTTGAACGAGTCAGGATTATCATAGCACAACAGTGATGTGCATTCGCGGCGCTGCAGTCCCAGGACGGGTGTTTTGGCACGATGCAGGATCGTCAAGACGGAACAATTTGGTTGGCGTTGAAGTCCTGAGAATGGTGAATTGGCACGCTTCAGGACTTTCACACGATTGTCCTCCAACGGGGCAGTTCCCTCAGTGGAAATGAACCTTTGTAGGGATTTATGAAGAGGGAGCTCGGAGGGAGGGAGTATTCCAACATCTTTGGTGTGTCTTTCGTTTTGCATTGGTCCTCCTCCTCCTCATCCTTCTCCGCCTCCTCCTCCTCCGCCTCCCCGTAGCCACTGGGCTCGAGTGGGTGGGATCAGGGGTCTCCAGCTTCTCGCACTCTGCACGGCACTCCGAAGCGCCCGTGCCTTCGGAACTCCGCCATGGGTCGCTCCGGTGCTCGTGGCGTCGCGGTGCGGCATGGCCACAGCGTGGCGCATTGCAGGACGGTGGAAGAGGCAACGCGGCTGATCCAGCTGCTAGCCTCCGACAACCCTGATGCCAACGTCCTCGACGGGTTCGAGCAGGGCTTCAGGGGCGCTAGGCGTAAGCTGGGCCTAGGGCGCAAGGCCACCTCAGAGGAGGTACGCCGAGCTCTGGCCAAGGCTCAGCCAGAGTTGGCGCAGCGGTGTGTGGCGATGCGAAGCGGCAGGCTCTGGGCAGCCCATCCCGACAGGGGCCTGTTACCGGAGGTGATGGAGCCCTGGATGCCCACTCTGGCACCATCGGGTCGGAGCAAGACGAAGCGAGCCAAGGGAAGCTCGAAGAGAAAGCGAACGCGACGGCGCTCCTAGCCAAGAAGGTCCTCGAGCTACAGGCGGAAAACCAACGCTGCCAGAAGCTCCTGGCGGACACGTCTGAGGAGCAGCGCGCGCTGAAGCAGAAAGATCAGGAGACTGAGGACGAGGCAGTGCAGCTTCCCCACAGGTCGCACGAGCAGAGCCCCAAGATCACGGAGCTCGAGCAGGCCCCGGCGGAGCTGCAGGAGCGCAGCGGTGCGGCGGCGAGGCCCCTCTCCCCAGCGCGCAGGGCAGAGGGGTGCGCCCCGCTCACGGAGGTCCTCGCCTTCCCGTTCCTGGCCTTGGGTTGCGAAGTGGAGGCGGAGGAGTTTGAGGTCGGCGTCGGGGCCAGCTGAACACCGCAGAGCAGGAGCTGAGCAACGGCGACGCTCAGGGGGCGTAAGTGGACCAGAAGAGCACCGAGCAGGACCAGGGCAGGCACCTGAACAGAGTCAAGACGGAGGAGCGCAACGGCACCGCGCTGGTGGGCGTCGACAGCGAGCACGACGACCAGGGCGGGACGCTGCGCACCGAAGAGGCGGAGGGGAGCATCAAGGGTGGCAAGGTCAGCTCCACGGGCATGCTCGTGCAGGGGGCCGTCGGCAACGCGCTGAGCACCGTGGGGAACCAGGGAAGTCACCTGCGCGCCTGCGCGGCGAAGCAAAGCACCAGCGACGCGCAGGAGGTCCTGGCGCGGCGGGGGGCCGCATAAACAACCGCCAGCTGGCGCGCGCAGAGGCGTGCGAGACAGCAGCAGAACCTCGAGCTAATGCAGGAGCAGCAGGAAGAACTGGACGCAGAGACGTCTAGTCTTACGCTTGTGGCAGTTCTCATCCTCGTGGTGGTCCTCGGCCTAGTTGCCCCCGCTGTGACAAGGATGCCTGGATAGCATGTGATTTCCGTTCCAGGGAGGTCGGCTCCTGACTGCCACTTCCACGACGGTTTCGCGTGCTTGGCCGAGCCCTCCGCGCACGGCGGGCGACCGCGCGCGTGGCTTTGGCCCAGAAGGCGACGAGCGCGAGTTCGACGACCACTTCGTCAGTGGCGCGTTGGCGTAGCTCCTGCAGTGCGCCGAGGGGGCGCCGCCTTGCTACAAGTGCGCTGAGCTATGCCTGGTAGCCAACGCGGAGTAGAGCCCGCGGAGCAGCAGCTGGGCGGTGCCAGCGCGGCTGGCCCTGGGTCCTGGCAGCAGCCCTCAGATTGCCAGGCCTAGGAGCCGCCAAGAGGACGGAGGCTGAGGCCGTCGGCCCGCTGCCCGCGCGGACGCCGCGCGCGCGGGCGTGCCGAGCCGCTCGGCACTTGCTTCCGTGCCTGGCCACTGGTGTTACTCCTCCTCCGCCTCCGCCTCCCTCTTCTCCCCCTTCCCTCTCTCTCCCCTCCTCCCCTCCTTCTCCCCTCCTCCCCTCCTTCTCCACTCCTCCCTCCCTCCCCTCTCCGTCCCCCCTCCTCCCTCTCCCCCCCTTTCCCCTTCCTCCCCATCCACTCTCCCCTCCCTCCCACCCCCGAGGACGACGTCTCTGTGGAGTTCGCGGTTCCAGCGCGCAGAGCGTTGGATGGTGAGCCGTCGGAGTGGCGGAGCGGCATTGCTGAGGTCGCCCCCCCCTGGGCGTTCAGACACCGGCGATGGCGGCGACGACGACGACGGATGGGAAATGGGGGGGAAAGGGAGGAGGAGGATGTCGAGAAGGAGGAGGAAAAGGAGGAAAGAGGGAATGGCAGGACGGCCTGTTCCTTTTCTTCCTTCCTCCTCCTCCTGCTCTTCCTCCTCCTCCTCCCTCCCCTCCGCCTCCTCCTCCTCCTCCTCCTCCTCCTCCTCCCCCTCCTCCTCCTCGTTCTCCTCTTTCTCCTCCTCCTCCTCCTCCTCCTTCCTCCTCCTCGTTTTTCCCTTCCTCCTTCTTCCTCCTGTTCCTCCTCCTCCTCCTCCCCCTCCTTCTCCTCCCTCCTGCTTCCTCCTGCTGCCTTCTCCTTCTCTCCTCGTCCTCCTCCTCCTCCTCCTCCTCCTCCTCTTCCTCCTTCCCCTCTTCCTCTTCCTCCTCCTCCGTCTCCTCCTTCTCCTCCTCCATCCTGCCTCCTCTTCCTCCTCCTCTTCCTCCTCCTCCTCCTCCTCCTCCTCCTCCTTGTGGGCGCCCTTTGTGGCGGTGTCCCCCCGATCGTGGGGGGACGGGAGGCGCACCGAGCACGGGCGGCGGGGGGAGCCCGCGAGGGGGGCGCACCGCGGCCAGGCCGTCTCCCTGTTCCGCCCGGCGGCCTGGGCCGCCCTTGCGGTGGCCGGCGCCTACGAAGGGTGTGATTACGGTAGGGTCTTGCGTCGGCGTCGGCGTTGGCGTCGGCGTCTGCGTCAGCGTCGGCGACGCGGAAACATGGATGGACACTGTAGCGTCACGAGGCCCGGCTGCAGTCAGCTTTGAATGATCGGGGCCGCGATCAGTTCAAGGCGGAATGATCGGCGTGGTGTCAAAAACCTTTGCGCGCGCCGACGCCGCACGAACCTACCGTACGCTGGGGTGTGGTTTTGCGATCGGCGCCGTTAGGGCCTGGGGGGCACGACGCTGTTCTCGTGGGGCCTCCTCGGGGCGCGGCGGAGAGCTCTGTCGAGGTCCCCGCCCGCCCCGCAGGGTGCCCCCCCGGGGTGCCGGTTGCAAGCCACACCTTCTGTAAACCACACCTTGCGAAGTCGCCGAGGTGGACGTGGTCGCGGCGGCTACGCTGCCGCTGCTGGCGGGCATGGCGGCTTCGATGCTGCTGCGGGAGAGGCCTCGACATCCTCCTGCTCCTCCCCAGACCCCCATCGCATCTGGAACAACATCACGGCACGAGGTTATTACTCATGTTCTGGGGGCCCTCGCCGAGCCCCAGGACCGTCAAAAAAACGGCTCAGGATGAAAAGCCGGTGATGGGGAATGGGTCCAGACTTTTGAGGTCCACGCTGTGAAAAAGCTACGACGTCGGAGTTCTGCCCTTCCTTCTCTTCATGTTCTTCATTTCCCTTCTTCGCCTCCTCCTCCTCATCATCACAACCGTCAACATCACCATCTTCATTAGCAGCATGATGATGATGATCAGCATCCTCATGGTCATCAACAACATCACCATCATCAGCAGTATCGTCATCACCATCGACATCATCATCAGCATCATCAGCATCATCATATTTCTCTTCATCATCATCAGCATCATCCTCATAATCATACTCATCATCACAATCACCATCAGCATCATCAGCATCATCACCATCATCATCCGCATCATACTCGTCTTCGTGATCGACATCATCATCATCCTGACCATCATCATCATCATCATCATCTTTGCCGTCAGCATCAGCATCATTATCATTTGCATCATCATCATCATCATCGTCATCACCATCGTAAACATACGCATAAGCATCGTCACCATCATCATCATCATAACCATTATCATCGTCATCAACATCACTGCCACCATCATCAACAGCATCGCCATTTTCATGATAGTCATTATCATCACCATCGTCATATTTATCATCAACAGCGTCACCATCATTATCATTATCATTGTCGTTATCGTCATCTGCATCACCACCATCATGATCAGCGCCATAGTCGTCATCGTGATCGGCATCATCATCATCATTATCATTGCCATTCTAATTATATTCATAATCACCACTTTAATCATGAACCTAATCATCTTCATCAACATAATCATCACAAGCATCATCATCATCATCATCTTCATCCAATTTGGCTCAAGAGCTGCTGCTGCTTTGTCCACCCTATGCGCGTCCACCTCCTCCGCACGTTAGTTTTGTTTCTGATTCACCAGAGCAGCCACCCCGTTTCTTTCTTGAGTCAGATTCACTCGAGTGACGATGGGAGATCTCTTCGACCTCGGAGACGCGGCAGGATCCACTGGCGGCAGAGGAGAGCAACCCGTGCAACGACCTCGCACGGCCGTCGACGTGGACATGGCGCCTGCGACCCCTCCTCTGCTGGCACTTCCAGAACCCCTCGGACCCGAGGCTGCGGTAATGGTGGCGGCGATCAAGGCCGTGCGGGATCCCGATGTCAGAGGACTTCGCAGTGAAGTGGGGAACGTCAGCACGAAGCGGACGAGCATGGACTTGAAAGTTGATATGGTGGGCACCCGTATGGATGCCATGACTTCTAGGTCCGACAGGACCGACTGGAATGTGCAGGATCTCGTGACCAGAACAGCCTCCCTCGAACGTGGAGGATGTTCAAACAGCTCGGCGGCCGGGCGTTGTCGGTGGCACCAGAACTTCAGACGGTGCTGGAAACGGCGGCGGCAAGCCTTGCAATTCATACAGTCGTAGTGCAGGTACGGTGCCGAAGACTCGTCGGCAGATCATCGTCGTTGGCGGGTTCTCCACAGAAGCCGAGAAAGCGACCATCTTGACAGAGTTGCGCAAGATACTGGCCCTGACTCCTTCGTTTCCCGCGTGGCCAGGTCCAGATATCGCCGAGGACATACTCTAGCCGTGTTCGCTTCCATCGGAAAGATCAAGTTTCGTTCCTCCAAAAACATGTAGACGTTTCTGAAGGCCGTCAAGGGCCACAAGCATCAGTGCAACGGCCGTCCTTTGTTTCACCAGATCGATAGCGCGGAGGAGGAGAGGCAGACGAGCAAGAGGACGTCGGCAGCTCGAAATATCATCGTGAAGCACTTGCAGAGGAATCCCAGACTCGGCCCCAACCCCTCCCGCGAGGACCTGACGAACACGTGCCGGGCGACTGGGGCGCAGGGATCGTGAGATATCGTGCTCGGGATGGCCAGATCACACTTTTTTGCGAGGCGAACCGCGTCTCAGGCCTCGTCCAGGTGACGTTTCAGGCGGGGGCATCGGGACTCAACCTCCGCTTCGCAGAGAATCTGCAGGACGCCAACTTCAGCGCGCGCTGAGTAGCGGGGCCAACAGCGCCTCGAGGGTGATGGTCTACATTACGAGCGATTCCGTGGAATGCGCGTAGTATCGAGCATGAATTTGAATCGTGTTGTGCAGACCTGGAGGCTGAGGAGCATTGGGGTGTTCTTCTAGTTCAGGAGGCCGCATGCTTAGAACGCTTCCCGATCCAAGGGCGGCGGCCGCATCTCTCGATTGTCTCGGGCTATGATGGGCGTAGAGGGACGGCGATCATCTCCAATCGAATTCTCGAGGGAGATGTCGACGCTACCTACAGTCAACGAGGCGAGACCATATCCGTGGGCTCAGGTGGGGTTCCCAGTGTGCACTCCTGGTCTGCGCCCATCTACCTCCGGACCATAACGTAGGCGAATGGAAACATATAGTTTGATTGCATTCGTGAGTTTATGGGCGAAAGCAGCTGTGACTACTCAGCGATTGGGATGGTTGCCCAAGCCACCGCTGGGAATGGGCAGTCTGCTCCGCGGGTTGGACCTCGCGCCGCCTCCCGCCGCGATCTCGTCGCCTCCCACTTCCTGGATTTCGTAAGGACGCGATCTATCCCTCCTCAACGCCACGGACTCTTCCCCCCGAGCGCTGGACATGTCATCGCGATTGCAAACCTGGCTTTCTCCCCGGCAAACTTTCTGTCTCGCGAGACCTCCTCGATCGGCGACGCAAGTTTGAAGCGTCGCCGCCGGCGCCCGCGGCCGCGGGCCCGCCTGCGTGGCGCTGCAGTATTTCAAAGTGCAGATGCCGCCTGGGTCGTTCCGCTCTGCGCGCTCGTCGCTCGGTTGGAGGATGCAGGACTCCGACTGCCTACTTGATCTGGGGCGAACTGGAGCACCCTTTATTTCCTGAACAAGATTCTGACCCAGCCCAGGGTTCTCGGGCCCGGCACATGCGGACCGATGTGTTTTTTTCCTCCCCAGGGGGCGACGCTCGCCCGAGCGGGTGGAACCAACAAGTGGATGGGGTGTCGCCGCTTCCTCTCAGGGGTGCGGCGCTCCAGTTGTCAGGTCTCTCAGGCGCTCTGACATCGGCGAGCGGGCCCGTCGCGGCCGACCCGCGGCGCGAGTCCGTCCTAGGCGCGATGCGAAGAACGAGCGGCGCGGCCGGGGTCGCGGCCCTGATCGAGCTCTGTTTCTGGCTTTTGAAGCAGGGTCAGCATCGGCTTGCTTTCTCGACTGCGACCAGGTCTCGCCGAGCCGAAAACGTCAGGGGCGATTTCGCGGATAACTTAGCCAAACAGGGTGTTCGCCTGGTCTCTGGCACGCCGAGGTGGATCAGACCTGCTCAGGTTGACTGGTTCTAAGCAGATTTTCTCCGACTGCTGGGGGGAACCCAGCAGGTCGGTCTTCCGGTTCGCGAGCAGATGCAGCAGGAAAGATTCGAAAGCAGTTGTCCTTCCTTCCTCGTCGGAGACCTCCGAGACGAGCATCTCCTCGCTCGCGCCGCGCGCGGGCGCAGGAGGAACAGTTATTCCATCCTCGGGGCAGCTCACGAATGTGATCGCCAGCGTTGCTTCTCGGCGTGGTCGAGGCTGCCCGAGGCACTCGACGGGCGCGGCCCCTCCGAGCGACCCACTGGCTGCGCGCGCTCGGAATCGACGGCGCCAGATGCGCGCGCGGGCAGGGGGCCGCGCGCGCAAGGCTCTAGCTAAGGACTCACATAGAACCCGAGGGCAGATCTCCAGGGCGCGGCCCACGGCAAAACTGAATGAGGCGCCCAAAACGAAACGGTTCCCAGGGCGCCCCATTGCGCGACCCCGCGTTCCCGGACTGAACTGGGCCCAGGGCGACGCGACGCCCGCGGTGGCGACGACTAGACAGGAATCAAAGATAATGGCGGATTTCTTTTTGGAGCTCTTCGGGAACCCAGCTCCCTCGCCCTCGTCCTCGCCATCTTAGATCCTTGCCCGTCAGACGACCCAGGGCCCGCCGTGGCTGCGCCGCCGCAGGGGCCCGCCTGCTTGGGGAGCTTTCAGCTCTGGATTGCGAATGAAGATGGGGGGGCAGGGTTCCAGGCAGGATGGGGCGGCAGTGGAGACGCTCGCTCAACCTTCTGAACAGGCCCTGGGATGCGCGGCGGAGTTCTTCAGACGCCGCCCGCTGAATTCGAGGGGCGAACGGGCGGGCGATGCATGGGGGGCCCACGGGATCAACCTTCTCACGAAGACCTGTCTCGCCAAAACGGGGGGCATCGCGGACTTGCGCCGCGTCGCCATCGCGCCCGTTATACGCGCGCAGCACGGCCGCGCTCTCCTACCCCCACTTAGCCCTGGACACAAACAGCGCTCGAAATCCCAATTCGCTTATGGGGGGATTTCCAGGCTGGGGGGGCGATCTTTATCGCGCAGCAGCTGTTGGGAAAATGCAATGAGTGGGGCCCAGAGAACCCGCCGTTTACCTCCGCGGGGGATCTCCGAAAAGGCTCGCGACTGCACGGGCCGAGGGGCACTTGCTCTAGCGGGGGTGAAACGCGGGGCCCCAAAGGTTCGCTTGGCGGGTTGGCCGCGCGAAGTTGGTGAGATGTCGGCGACTGTCTCCTTGGGCGACCTCGCGAGTCCGCAGGCCCCTGTCTGCAGAATTCGCTCGCCAGCGCAGGGGGAGCCTGCCGCGCCGCGCCTGTTCAACCCTAGGCTCGAGATCCTGACTGACGCGCGCGTCCGGAGGCGCGAGAAACATGATTGGGCTTTCCGCTGGCAAGTATTCGCCGACCGATCCGAGGACCCCTTCGTTCCCAGTCTACGTGTGCCGACAGTTTCTGGACCCTGGGGCGCGCCCGACGCGAGATGCAAACCGTGGCCGAAAACTGGCCACATGCCCTGGGGAGCGGTTGATACGA